CTCGTAAGCGATTAACGTACATATTGTCACGTGACGCAGGTAGCGATACTCGTCCATCGTTCGTGTTACAGAGATCACGATTGCACCTCGGGGTAGTACGTAATTTCAGTTCGAAACGTCGAGAATATTTTATATATATAATCTGCGAGAATTTTTATAAAAGCTAGCATTCTGACAGAAATTAAATTAAATTCGTATCAGGTAGGAGTTGTGGAATTATCTTATAACTGGTGATTTTTGTGACTTTAATTCACGGTTTACTGACTGTCATCTAGTTGAGGAATCCTCGAGGAAGATTTCGATCAGAGAAGCAAGATCATTCGATCTTTTCAATATTTTTACGTCGTGCATATATCTTACGTTTCATTCGGACAAAAAAATGGATCGATTAATTAAACGATAATTGCCATTTAGCTTGGATGAAACGCAAATTTTCCACGTGGAGAATGTAAACATCGGTTCTAAGTCGGTAATTTTTAATCACGTAAGAAGCACAGTTACGTTAATTAGGGTAATGAATTCGTAACGTCGGCGATATGAGAAACGCCATAAATATTCACAGATGCAGTCGATCCGCGAATTCATTGTAAAACGATCTTATTCCGCGAGTTTGCCAGACGCCAATTTGATTTTTGGCATCTGTGGCTGCAATTAGATAATTACCTGAATCCAATTAATCCGATCCACTCCACAAATCCACCAGAACCTCAGTTCAAACATAATCCCAACTTTGCCTAATCTGATTCTGATGCAAATATTATCAAACCTCCTCATTGAAACGAAACAATTTAAGTTCGTTTTGAAATGATCTGTTGCTCACAATATTAATTGCTTCACTGTTTGAAGAAAAAAGGGAAGAAATATTTCACAGATTACATAATTCGTAAAACGTAAAAACACGCGCTCGATTCATTAGCGCGCTTGACAACAACAAGTTACGAAAGTGATGTTACACGACGTTACAAATAAATCATTCTCGTTCCAAACGAGATGTTCTCTCTCTCTCTCCCTCTCTCTCTCTCTCTCTCTCGACGATTCGTAAAACTTTCGCGCGTATGCCAATCGAAGTTGCACGGTTCACGATATCATTCACGTGGTTATAAACGGTGAATAATATCGTGATCTTAATTATACCGGGCTTCTTTCTATCGTGATCTTGTTTTACTTCGACCTCTGGTCTAGAATGCGAAAATTCGAGGCGAAGAAAGGTGTGCCGGAGGTGTTTGTCTGTTGGCCCCCCTGCCGGCGGCGTTAATGGCGGCGCTACGCGCGGCAAAGCGATCGAAAGAAAGAGTGGCGTTTTATGAAAAGTCGTCGAGGGCCTCTTTGAGATATTTGCACCAAGCGCTTCCCCCTCAAACCGAACCAAAGTACAGTCGCGTTCGCGTAGTACACGCGCCACCCGCGTCAAGCGGTAACAACGTGTATTTATCGATCGTGCTTCGTCGGTTTCCTCCCTCGAAACGCTCTTCGAGCGCCGATTGACGAAACTCCTCTTTCGGGGACGATTCTTTCTTCCAGTGCAATACTCGATCTTTCGAGTATTTTTCAAACGAACAAAGTGTATGTACACTCGCGTTGCCAACAACATTTCACATTAACCATCTGTTGAAAATTATGGTTAAATTAATATCTTATATATAATTAATAAAAAATTCTGTGTATAATTCAATGAAAATTAAATAGGTGAATTAAAATTAATAATAATAAATTAAAGTGCCAGCAATAGCGGACCTCACGATTCCAAATTCGAAGCGTGTTTCGCTAATTATCCCTCGCACGGGATTAATTATGGAGCACCAAAAGAGAGATTATATTATTTCTCAATCGTTCCGCGCGTAACCGTGGAAGCTGTGAATGGATTTTCGACAGGTTTTGCGAGAAATATCCTGAAAACAGAAGGACGCTCGAGCGGCTTTCCCACACATGTACACACCGCGCCCCGGACACAAAAGGCTTCTCCCCGCCTTTTTTGTACTTTTTCGTGACGCCGCGAAGAACCGGCAGAGGGTGAGACTGAAAAGGGAGAGAGAACCACAAAATTCGTGTCCGAATGATGAAGAGAGAGAGAGACGGTCGGTGTAAATGAGAGGAGAGTTCCCTCACGGTCGAACAATACGAAATGTCTTCCGTGAGAACTTTTCCCTCGCAAAACTATTATGCTACGGGGCTGTGGTGTCTGGTTGCAAAATCCATCCAGCCCTTGCACGCGTGGATGCTTTTTCTTCTTTTTTTTTTTCTTTTTTTTTTCAAACTCGTGATTTTTCGGTTCCTCGAATTGTCTCGGAACTTGCACGATGAAGGCCGAAACTTTCTGTTTCGAGCCGCGGTGAAAACACGGCCGACGCTGAAATTCTCTAGTTTCGCTTAATCTTATCGTGAAGTATTGAACTTGATAAAGGGGACTGGGGAGCAGCGGAAGTGGAGCGTGGTAAATCACTGTACTCCCGTACTGCCGTACGAATTATGTCCTCCGCGCTCAGGCTTCGTCCGACCAAGTTTCTTTCTGGGCCAGAAATTTCTTCGCGAGAGGGAGAAGCTTCTTCGTTCGAGAAGTGGAACCGACCCGACGAGAAAGGAATTTAATTCTTCCTCGGGAAACAGGGAATTCTGCGAGAAAAATTCAACCGGCGAATTTTGGGGAAAATTAGGAACGAGGATGTACGTCGTTCTCTCTTACATAAAGATATATACGCGGCGAATAAAGTGAATTCCGAGACCAGACGAGGGAGACAAATTTGAAAGAATAAGGTCTGAAAGGATCGATTGCGAAGTCTGTCTGTGGATGCGTGCGTATGTGTGTGTGTGTGTGTGTGTGTATGTTGGACCGTCTCTGCAAACGAGGAATATTCAACCCGGAAAGAAACTCCGGGCGGCAGTTATTCGGCTAAAGAGGATGCAAATGAACTATTCACGGCACTCGGGGAGGGCTGGGCAAAAAGAGGAAACGTTACGCGCAAGAAATTGCCTCGGAGGAGGAACAGCAACTAGCAGGAGAAGACTAGAAAAAGAAAAATCAACTTCGTCTTAACAGAATCAACAAGCTAATGCATTCTACGGAAAACTAGCTCGCGTGCAACTTCGTCAGAGGCGCCGAGAATACCAAAGATATCGGGACTCTGTTTTTTTTCGCCGAGTACAGAGTTCCATTCGTCCAGATTACACGGAACACTGTACGCAGTGGTAGGAGTTAGGTATAGTTAGTACTAGGCTTAGGTATAGTTTAACGATGCGATACGACGTGACAACCGCTTCGAGAGATGACATTTTGCCCTGCTCGCGACGATTAATCTCATGCGTTGGAATGACGTGCCTTTTTGTCCCAAAATTGCAATGTTCTCTCAGTTTTAAGTAAAACAAATAGATAATAAATTTATTACTTCTCCAGCGTATTATCGTAAATAACGACGACGAAAAGTGAGCGACGGATTATTGTAGACGATTCTCGGTCACTCGTTATGGTCCGCAATCAGCTGCCAGCGCGAGAGGTTAAGCAAACTATCCGATCGGTCTGTTTTTAAATACCGTGCCGAGCAATGATACGAGAAATTTGTTCCAACACACCGTGTGCTTGTTAATCTGTCTGCGCTCTCGTGCAAACCAATCAGTTTTCGGTGCCTCGAATGGCGGGAATTTTGGCCGTGGCGTTACACGAGATTCAGTAGTAATTGATGATGTGATACTGTTACGTCACGTGTCGCGCCATTAATTAATAGTTAATCTCGGAACAATCGATTTCGACTAACTATTTTGATTCGGTATAAACGTAGAAGCGTAAGCTTCAATTTGTGTTTGAAAGTGTTGTGAAAGTCTGTTCGAACGGTACTGAAACAATAAATATTACCGTCGAGCTCTTCGTAGCATTCGCCAGAAATTTAGAACGCTTCCTGCCATTTATTATACACTACCGGAATCTTTTGTTTTGGAACGTCAAAGAAGTAGAATTGATGTTTCGGTTCAAAAAATTCGTCTGTTTTTGTGGAATTTTTATAGAAAGAGGTGTTACAATTAGGAACAGTTTTGTGTAGACACAGACATTTTAGAATCTGTATAATGAAAGGTGGAAACGAGTTATTTTACAACATTTGATTAAAACTTTTAACTTAGAAGTCCATTTTCATGTTTCAAGTGTTAGTCATCAAATACTATTCATTCAGTGTCAGTATTCGCTGCAAATATCGAGAAATCTTTTTTAATATTGATGAATGGTGACATAATGATATTATTATTAATAAGTAATATTTATATTTATGAACGGAATTATCTTAATACTTCTATATTTTATAATCTTAATATTTCTTAATAATATTATTAATTAATAAATATAGAATGTTAAATATAGAAATATAAAAAATTATAAATATAGAAATATTAAGATAATTCCGCTCATAGATATAAATATTACTTGTTAATAATAAATATTTTATAATCTTAATATTTCTATATTTTGTAGGTTCCACTCTGAAACTTTCATTTTTATAAAAGTAATCGCTTATCAGTTCTCATTTAACATTTTCCGAAAAAGTTCTACTGGACATACATATGTTTTAGTAAGTAGAACTTTTTAAGTAGAACCTACTTAATACTTATTCGATCCTTCGGTTTCACCTAACATTACCGCGAGTACCGCATTCATGCTCCATATGATAAACGCATGAACAGACTAGAGTTTAGTTAACGGCGACCAACAATGCAAATTTTTCCCGTGTAATTTCTCGGAGTCAGTTCGTTTCGTCTAGTTTTGGAATAGCGAGCATTCGTTGCGGCTGTAGCCATGAAACACACATTCACACGCACTCACATACGCTGTGCAAATGCTGTGCGTGTGTGTATAGTGTACGTCAGAAAATACGTGGGTTCTAGCAGCTCGACTATGGCCGACGTGTCGACTTCGATTCTGGTTAAACGGCCGTCAATTTCTCGCGACAATGTATCGTAACTCATCTTGGAAATATCGAAAATCCTGCAAAAAAATTCTCTACCTCCAAATGTTTCCTTTTTTTTTTTTCTTTTTGTAAAAAGAAGAGAATGAATTTCGTCGTATTGTTGCAGAAATTCTTTTTCCTTCGTTGCACTCGTGGCCTGCACAAGAATAGAATCAGAGATAAAATTTTGCGGTTTCGAAACTTAAGACACATAATCCTACAGAAAATTCTCTACCTTCAAACATGTTCAAACATTTCCTTTCTTTTCGCGAGGGAGGGGGAGAGAATGAATTTCGTTGTAGAAAGTTGCAGAAATCCTTTTTCCTTCGTTGCACTCGTTACCTGCACAACAATAGAATCAGAGATAAAATTTTGCTGTCTCGAAAGTTCAAGACGACGCTGTTTCCTAATTAGAAAATCATTTCTCGATTTTAACTTTAGCTCTATTTAATTTCAAAGTAGAAAATATTTTTTTTTTTTTTTTTGCTTAATAATTGCGGTTTATGTAAATTATAAATTTTGTTTCTATCGAAATTGAATTCCACAGTTGTTATTAGTGGTTATTAATCGACACGCACACTTCAATATCGCGGTTATTCGGTGTTTCTGGGTTAGATTGGATATAACAGATATATCAGAGATATATCAGAACGCGTGGATTTCTGGACTATAATTATAAAGCAAAACTGTAAACCGGAGCTTGCCGAGAGGCACTCGATGCCCCCGCACTGTACATCGGGAAACGAAATTATCGTGGAAAGTTCGAACATTTGAAATAATGCTCGAGCAGCTGAGAGCGTCAATTAAGGGTTAAAACAGAAGGCTCGGCGGGGAAAGTGGTGTGGTGCTGCTGAAAGTAGAAAATCACGCGCTCAAAATAATCCACTGTCTACTCAGGTTACGCTATTTTAGGCACTGCTCGTACTGCCTAAACTGGATCACAGAATTCGGTAAAAAGATTGCTTGGTCTAAATACGGCCGCGCAAGATAATGTATAACTTGAAGCTCAACCCTAAACATCAGGACAGCCCTACCGATGACGCACGATTTTCACTAGATTTTCACTCAGTACTCGAGACATTTGGGAAAATAAAATTAAACATCCAAGTTTGCTTTAACAATATCTGTTAATCTCTTGCGCTGCAATATTTCCCTCAATTCTAAGTATATTTAAGTATAACCCAAGGCAAAGGATAAATATGTTACTTTTAATAAATTTGTCACTTTTCAATAAATTCCAGCCAGTATGATATCATGCCCGACGAGTTCAAGAAGAAAGCGACGAATATATTGTATACGGTTTTGGTCACTCGTTATGGTCCGCAAACCAGTTGCCGGCGCAACTGGTTGAGAAAAATGCCAAACGTCGAAGTTCAACGCGTTGTCCTTTCTTTTCACTTTTAATCACCAGTTAACTGCGCGATTTGATTTTAAAAATCCCTCGCGAGGAATTTGAATTCAAAAATCGAGCAATGACGAGTAGTATACACTTCGAACGCAGGGGCAAATGCTCCGGTTATAAATTTAACAGATTGACTGCGTTCGAGCTATTAAAGTGAATGGCAATTCTTTTTTTATTTTGCACAACGAAGTAAAGTTAAGACTGACGTGTATACACGTCGAACATAAGTAACTAGTTGAAAAACATGATCCTGAGTCGCACGAAAGACGATAAAGCTGTGGTACTGAATAATTCAACGATGAATTCTAATGTGCAAAAAAGGAAAAAGAAAAAAAGAGCGAGAAATACTGTCAAGTGCGAGCACATTTCTATAACTACTGCCTCGCTCTTCTTATAGATCGGTAACATAAACGGGACGCATTACGCCACGACACGACGATTCGAGAGCGTCGATTCACCACCGATAGCAACAACACGGTCCCCCATTTTCTTATTCGAAGAAACGAAAATTTCAACTCTCTCTGGAGGATCGTTGCCGCTGAAAATGTATTCGCCGTCGTTGAAGATTATTCATTCATCGTTGAAAGTAATTAAGGGAGGGTTCGAGGAACCAGATTCTAGGAAGCAGTAGCAGAAATTTCAGCAACCAAGATTAGATAAGAAAAATGGATTTATAATTAGTCGAATCATGTCAGGTGTTGTTTCTCTCTCTCTCTCTCTCTCTCTCTTTTCCTCGCTGTTAGCAATTATCTGGAAGGTCGGTCAGTTCTGTTCCAAGCGTGTCTTGTCAGGCGTTAGATTCCTCGATCGTACACACTGGTGGTGGTACACGTACACCTTCCGTGTGGTTGCGCGTGACGTTCGCACGAACGTGTACTCGCGTGTTGCTCGCAGAGTGTGCTTATACAATCTGCACGTGGCCGTCCTGTTTATTTTCACTGTTCCCAGCAATCAAAAAAAAAGCACGACTTTCGACTTTCAAAGACTGTCTCCAACCTGGCAGGAAATTCAATATTTTTTTTTTCTTTTTTTTTTGTAAATTCGATACTCGTTCGCAAAAGAAAAAAGAAAAACATCCTCACCAGGTGTGTATTTTGAACGTCCCTGTATAATACATATTCATAGACGCGCAGGAAAAATATTTCTGTTATCGTATGAATTTGTTACACTCTGTTGTTCTAAGCCCCGATTTTAGATTCCAGGAATTGTCACGCTAGGGAATTTTTGAAATGCAGATTATTCAATGGGAGATGAATTAAAGAGTGGGATAGTATTATTCTTTAAAAAAAAAAAAAAAAAAAAAATCGTCAAACTATGCTCTGTGAATACTGATCCAGAATTTTGGAATTCTTCTTCGAAATAAAGATATTCCGATGTTACGGCCATCTTCGATGCATTTTATTTCCATAAAAAACGTCCCGCAGATTACGGAGAGAGAGAGAGAGAGAGAGAGTGAGAAAGAAGGAGCGACTCACAGACGACGGCGAGCGACTTCACAAAGCCGTGTGTCGAGAGGATCGATCGGCATTAATGAACACGTTGTACATCATTGATTATGAACGCTACGGGCCAGTTGGCAGCCCTGGCGATCACTGCAATTTTAAAGCGACTGCTTAGCACCGATTAACAATCCCTCCTCGCCGACGTATCACGTGACGTGACAAAAACAGCATCGCGTCGATTAATTAATGAACGTTCGGTTGATCTACGACCAGCGAGAAAATGATCCGGTTAGAAACAAAACAAAACCAAAAAAAGAAAAAAAAAAAAAAAAAAGACACAAATCCTATCAACAACGGTATTAGCGAATCGATAATGAATCGATCGGGGAAAAAGGTCAGGTTCTCACAGGCGATCGTGTTTTTTCACAATAATCGGCGTGTAAAAACTGCCGGCCGGGTTGAAACGCAAACTCTAAATAAGCCGCTGTATCAAAACGTGGCGCGATCACCTCGCAACCCAGCTAATAAAGCTCTCCGTATAAAGTAACCATCAGCGGTGGTTTTATTCAATGATGCCAATGACATACGCGGCACGTCATGCTCGTTCGCAGTGGCTCTCACATGGCGTCCAAAATACCGCGGAAAATTCGGTCGATCGCTTTTTCCCGTTAACGCGCTTTCACGGGTTCTTTCTCGCGTTCAAAATACCTCACGCCGGTCCGGTTACTCCGTAATCAAATTGGGAATTTTTCGCGCGTTGACAAAAAAACGAAATCCTGCATCCGCCGTGGATCAGTAGTTTTATTACAGCGATCGTACCGCCCGGTAATTTCGAGAGTTTTTGGAAACGCTTGAAAAAGGAAAAGTTCGTTTCAACCAGTTGCCGCTGGCAACCGGATTGCGGACCATAACGAGTGACCGAACCGTATACAATAATTCGTCGCTTTCCTTTTCCATTGAACTCGTCGGTGTGTAGTATCACTGGATAGATATTAAATAGAAGTAGTAAATTCATTATTTATTTTGCCCGGGTTACACTTAAAACTGAGAGAATGTTGCAATTTAGGGCAAAAAATTCTCGACGCGGCGCGTCATTCCAGCGCGAGAGGTTAAATAATATTTAAAAAAATCCCAGAGTTCCTTTTTTATGAAAAGATTCGCATCTAAAATTCGAATTTATATGAAAGCTACTTCGAAACAGATATATCGAACAAAACGAGTGGAAATGAATCAAGTCCCTTTGTTTGAAAGAATGAAAGAAAAGAAAAAAAAGGAAATTTCGTCTAATTAATGCGAAAGATGACTGGACAAGCGAGTACAAAATGGAGGAGTTTAATCGATATCACAGTTACTTGAGCTTGTAAGTTACTTTGGCTTGCAGAGGAAGGAAAACGAAAAGAATGAGAGAGAAAAGAAAGGGGGGGGGGGAGAGAGAATGGAATGGTTCCAGTAACAGTGGTGCAGTGCAGTTTTCCACGCTGGAATGTAGCGTTTCAGCATTCCAGGTAAAACGGTGGAGCCCTCCGCGATACCTCGATTTATGGAGAATTTTGTCCGTGAACGGCACGTCATATTAAGCGAATTTGTTTGTTAACGTGACAGTGCAAGACCGACAGTAATCCTTTACATCTGACAAAGATGTCATCAATCTCAAGAAATGTCCCAAGAATCGAAATGAACGTAAAACTTCCCAAAGCAAATGCAACAGCGAGCAATAATTTTCTCAAGTAAATCGATCTTTCGAAGGGAATTTCTCGGACATTTCTAAAATGAAAATTTAGAAATTTCACAGTCAAAAGTAATTTCGTTGAAATGATTTGTTCCGAGGATTTACAAACCCAATGGGGACAGTTTTTCCTTTCGTCAAGAGTCTTTTGTCCTCCGAGTGTACTTAGGAACACCCAAGCAGTTTTTCATGTGCTGGAGATGTCAGGTCATTCCGAGGTATTATTAGCAGATGGACGGTTCGTAAAATTTTCACTTTTCCTTCACCGAAGGAAGACCAACATTTCATTATTACTCTGTGGAACAACACTGCAGTGTAAAGATAACAATGTATTATCGTAGCTTCTTTTTTATGGAACACACAATTATCTCAAGCTTCAGGCTTAACCCCTTACGCTGGCAACTGGTTCGCGGACCATAACGAGTGACCGAACCGTGTACAATAACTCGTCGCTTTCTTTCTTACAAATATAACATAAAACTGAGAACGTCATTCCAGCGCAAGAGGTTAAATTGGTAAAAAAAGTCAGGAGAGATATTCACGATTGAAATGAAAACGGAACAAAACCATGGTTTGTCCCCACGTTGAGCAGCTGTACCAACACACCATGACCTGTTGAGGCCAGCATCGGCGACGCGTAGATGAAGCGGTCTACTAATCCCGCGAGATTGAGCAGATATCACCCTCGCCAGGTGGAAACGAGGTGCGGAGGAACGAGGGAGAGAGGAGCAGAGAGATCCACGTTGCCTTGGCTCTAGACCAAACCACGAAGAGGCCAGGGTCGTTTCGAAGTGACTGGGTGTAGGGGCCTGTGCCAACGCCTACAAAATCTCGCGTTTTCTGCTGGCAGATATCGAATACGCCGCCGGAACGATTAGCGGCCCGTTTCCAAGACGCGAGACCCGACGTGGCGAAAGTCGGTCATTTTCCATCGATCCTCTGGTGTTCCACCACGATGTGTTCGGTTCCGCTTTCGCGGAATGAAATTTGCTTTCCAGAAATTGCAGCTTTTTAGAGCTGTACGACAAAATTTCAGAAACTTCGGACATTGAAACTTTTTAACACGTACGGAACCAAACGTGTATTTTTTACCTTGTATGTAGTATTTTTTATATCAATAAAAATCAAGTATATTTGTCAGACTCGTTAATGCGTCCACTAGAATGAATATTGCAAGTGTCGGACCGACGTCGGCCAAACGAATAATGAGGCGTCGGTCCGCAGGAACTAACAACGTCCCGAACGTGTTAACACATGAAAAAAATTTACAGTTTCCACTTGTCTCGCTGTCGATTGTGTTTGAAGCACCGGGCCCTCAATGAGAAACACTGGCACGCGGTCTTGCCACGGTTCTCAAGAAGCGACTGGCCTAATAACGGGCTTGGTGGTCGTCGCAATTATGCCCATTATGCGAAGTGCAACGGAGAATTGCCACCGGTATGGTTGATGGATGACGATGATCCTTAATACACGAGGTTCTTGCCGCGACTGAGAACCACTGGTCGGATCACACGGTCCCGATGGCACACTAAGCTGCCCTCGGGGCCCATAGGCTGTTTGTTTGCCCGACAATACGGAATGTCCATCGTTTCGCGGAGATCGATGGTAATACCGATGGAAATCTGCGACGGGGAACGTCACCGTGGCCTTGGCGTTATGGCGTCGCGCGCGACATAAGAACGACTGCACACGGTTGTTTTACCTTTGTCCTGTCCTCTTCGAGTTTTTTTCGACGCGAAGTCAAGTATCGAACGAAGACTGGTTTTAAAGTGGAAGTTAATCTTCGAGTGGAACACACGAGACTCGATTTGAACCTTCTTCTTATCGTTGATATGTCATTAGCAATAATTGTAAAAATATCAATCGCTGTTGTATTAATAGGTGTTACTCGACACACACGTTACGTGACGCATAGTCGTCATGCATTGATAACCAGGGATTATCTAAATATTGAATAATTCGCTGCGCGGCTTCTAGGTTACACAGTTATCGAGAGAAAACAGATTGGTAGCGATAAGGGGGGCACTTCAAACAATACTTATCAACCAGCGTGTTCGGTGACGAGAGATGCCCTCTTGTCCAGGAATAATCTTTTGTTATCTCTCTCTCTTTCTCTTTCTCTCGGCCGAAAAAGCGTACGACTGGTATTGAGACACATTTGCATATCAGGCATTTAAATTGGGCCCCCCGTTCCTGTGACAAAATCACGAAAATAACTCGGGGGGGAAACTGATATACTCTTGCATCAGAAATTATGCTTAACAGGGTCGTAAAAAAAAAAAAATTATTACCGCATCTAAAAGAATTAATCATCCAACCAGATCTTATTATTTGGATATTTTAGAAAAAGTTGATGCAATTCAATTATTTTTGCTCCATGGAATGATTAAATTTGTTAATTGAATTTTAATAATTGCTTGAACTGATAAGCATTAAATTATTAAAATTCCATTTTGGAATTATGTCTCCAAGGCTGAGAACCACTGTATGTGTTCCTACGCGGTCTCGATGATACTAGGAGAAGTCTCGCGAACTCTAGCCGCCTTGCATATCGCGATCCTGGTACGACGTATCATCGCGAACGCGCCGCCGTAGAATCGTATCAGCCGCACGATACTGTTACTCGATTATACGAGGTCCTCCGCCACTTTTTTTTCTCCTCCCTTTCCCCCTTTGCACGGAATCAGCTGCCTCTGGCTTCCCATGCGTACTGAAACTGGCATTGGCATCAAGTGGTTCGCGAACTACATTGGAAATTCGATTTTACGTTCGATTCAGGGAATTCAACATAGTGGTCAGCAGAGCAAAAATGATGCCATTTGTGATAAAAGTATTGGAATTGTTTTCTACCGATGAGACAGGAAATTGAATGGGACTTGCACCGCCTGTATGGTCGACGTGTCATTTTCTGGAGCCTAGGGAATCGTATTACCAACAGTGATGGATTAAGTTTCAGCTTTTTGTAATGAGAAAATATATTGGACAGTTGAGGGAAGGTGGACAGAGACAGTGTATTGAGCGATTTTAAATTTTCCTCCTTTTTATATATATAATTATACATATTTATTTTTCTATTTTTCCTCCTTTTTATATATATAATTATATATATTTATTTTTCTATTTTGAAAAATTCCTATATATATATATATATCAGAAGGAATCTTTTAAAACAGAAAATATAAATTATTATAAAAGAAAGATACGAACGTTACTATACCGAGAGTTAAATCTCTGTGTGTTCAGAAATACTCTGCTTTCAGGAAAATTTGTATTTAAAAAGAAAGAAATTATTTCAAGAAAAAAAATCGAATGACACGAGGTATCGTTTTATATGTTCTAGGAGGACACGGCACGTGGACTTGCCTAAATGGTGGCTCTGGCTGTAAGGGGTCCTACAGGGAAGCATGAGGGAAAGAACGCCCTCTGCCGACGATACCCCGAAGAGGGCCCCATCAGCGCTACCGAGAGGTTAGTTTCCATAATCCTCGCCGATTAAAAAGAATTACTCGTTCAGTGTAACAGGTACGGCCGTAAAACTGGATGGAAGTGAATTTCTAACTTCCACCGATAGAAATCTGAGAAGCGTTACTTTCCCGACTCACGAGACTTCGCGTTAGCCCTCCTCGCGTATCTCGCTTTCTACAGACCTGATGAAACTTGGAACTCGTCTCGTGGAAATTGGGAACATTGCCCTATCTAAATTACCATTTTTGTTCACAAAAATACACGAGAACCATTGTTTTTTTTTTTTTTTTTTTTTTTTTTTTCCTTACGTAATATGAAATATTTGACGTTGCCTGTCGCGAATAACGAATTATCCCACGTCGTGGAAGAGTTACTGGAAACAGTCGTAACCTAAATAACTAGAATATGATGCCCACACTCTCGCAGTGTTCCCCTTTGCAATTTCTAATCCCTCAGGCTCTTCGTTCGTACCGTTCACAGCGATCCTCGACTCGAGGATTGCGTCCGGTCTAAAATTATCCGAAGCAGAGCACTCGTGGCACGGGCTGCGAGGCTCTCGTCGCTAGACGAGTAGCGAGCGACTATCTTCGAAACACCCTGTTTGCGCGCACAGACAGCGCGTTTCCAAACGATGATGCGCGTTATGTAATCGGAGCGCGCAGGTTGCAGGTTGCGGCGAACACGGATGCGTGTGCATGCGCGTCACGCACCGCGACCGACGATAAGCCGGCGATATTAAGACGCGATAACACTCGCCAGACCAGGTTATAGATGCTTATGTGTGCCAGTGAAAACTGTCGTCCTCACAGACCATGGGCCTTGAATGCGGCTTCTATGCAGTCACATTCGCCAATGCCTCTTTTCTTTATATTATAGTCCCTACGGACGGATTCGTGGAATTTTTTTTTTTTTTTTAGTCTGCCGCCTATGTGTTTCTCTGTGTGTATACAGGACGTTTCAAAAAAGATCTCGTTCTTGTTTACGAGGAGACATTTTTCACAGATTCTCGTTAAAACAGTGCACCTGGAAGGTTGCTTTTACCAGATTAGTTAATATAGAAAATAGTTCTACAGGCTGTTTCAAAGACTACAGATCGAATTCAATGAAATATTGTCGCAGCACGAAATCTAACGAACTAAAAATCATTGGGAAGGATGGCTATATCCTCAGATTTAACAATATCAGTCACAGTGCGTTCAGTGTTCTGGACTCATTACAGGTCTCACTGACTTTAGTTAAACTCGCATCCTCAATTAGATATTCTCAGAATAATCCAAGTCAGCATTTTCATACAATTGTCCAGGTTGGTCATTGTTAGGTCAGCCAACAATTATCTCACGAATATATACCTTGGGTTTTCAAAATTCTACACGTTACAGTTTTTCACGGCTCGCGATTTCTACACGGTGATTCAAAACTCGAGTAATTTTGATCCTAAGATTGATATTAAATATGCGCGAAGAAGATTCTACCAAATTAACGAAAAAGCATTTACTGACTTGCAATTAATTGTAACTTGTTAGAATGTTACGCACTATACGTAAATTTCTTAATTACACGTTGTTTCATTCGAAATTCACTGTTTTTTCGAAACGATATGCCACGTAACGGTGAAGTTGGCCAATTTGCAGCGATATCGTTTAGCGAGCCATGGGATTCAATGGGATTTAGGTTAGGTCCGGTTCTACGCAGCCACAGTGTCCCATGGCGGCTGGGTTTAGCCATTTTCGTGGTCGCAAATGGCAGTGGGATTCTTGGTTAATTATTGTGCCGCGCTCGCGTTTCACGCTGCATTATCGACCAGCCATTTGTGCTGCTCTTTGGAATGCAAGCCATCGAGTTTCAGCAGGCGTACCAACAAGAACCTTTTCTTTTTTTTTCTTCTTCTTTTTCTTTTTCTTTGCTAGCAAAACGACCAGTGGAACCTGCCAATTTCTAGTCGACTGCAATCTGAAGTGAAACTCGGTTCTCTTCGTGGAATTTCATTCTCAAACTTATTGCTGTTACATAAGACGTCAACTTGTAAAATTTAAATCATAATCTCGTTTGCTTTTTTTTTTTTTTTAATTCATTCAACCCGATTCGGCCACAGAGCATCGGAATAAAAAAATTGCAACTGAAGATAAAAATAGACGGAGCACCGAATTAAAAATTTCCTGCGGCCAAAGCTTCATCTGGAGAGATTATTCTGCGAAAAAGCGGATGATATTTTATTAACGCAAGATTGAGTTAACGCGTATGCAGAGGAAAATCGCGAGAAAATGGAGAAAACTCGGGAATCGACGGGAAAGGGAACGATACAAGGGGGAACGTGATACAAGATAAATAATTTATCGTGGAGACTCCATGGCGGGGGGGAGGTGGGGCGGTATTACGGGGGTTAAAACTGAAAACGCTGATCGATAACAAAATCAGCGAGAAGTGTGGCGGCTCTGAATTATTTATCAAGTAAATAATTCATCGAAGGAAATCTCGAAGAAATGCATCGGAGTAAAAGACGAAGCGAGCTTCGAAATTTCAACGTATTTAAACAATTTTTTTTCCCCTTAGGACTATTTATTCGAGAGGCAAAGTTCAGTGAAAAACTGATTTTACGATCGGACGATTATAATCGACTGAAATAACTTTACAGAAAGAAAACTTTACAGTCACTGTTGAAGTAATATAATTTTCCAAACGTCCCACTCGACTAGTCACAAATTTTCCCCCGACTATCGTTATTTCGATATTCGAAACGAAGACATCCATTTTTCAGTGGTCATTTCCCACGGAGAATCACCGATCCACGATATAATCCAGCAATTTTTGAAAGTAAATTCCGCGAACAGTGACGCGGTTGAGTAGCGAGGGCGATCATCGATTTTCTGGGAATTATTGGCTGCCCCTTTGTTTATCGCCGATAGATGGAAATGAAAAAGTTCGAATGTGCGCTTGCACGTACAAAGGCTACTACTGACTATTCTAATTGATTGACGGGCCGAAGGACGCTCGTGCGGTTGTCGTTTTAATAGACTGTACCGTTGTACAGTTATAAATTGCACGGTTAACAGTGACTCGAAGCGTCTTTGTGCCTCGCACAACGGGTGGGACGAAAGTGCGATCCACTCGAAATGAAACTACGCTGTTGTATCTGCAAACAGCGGATTTTGAATATTTATTGGCTGCCTCGCGAGTCAATGTTAACGACACAGAGTGGAATTAAAAGCGACGAGTTTTATTTCTCCGCTCCGTGCACTCCGCGCGACGAAAGTGCCATTAATAGTAAACAGCGTTAACCGTGGTGACGGTGTGTGCAAGCAAATTTTCGTTATTGCGTTTCGGGTACGTATTTTTTGATATTCACGTTCGAAATCTATACTTGGTTCTCTGTTCGCAAATATATCCATGGTCTGATAGTAATAATTTTTATTACATACCGAGTGTGACGAAAATTCAGGCACCTATTTCTCTTGTTATCCACAAAGAAAAGTCTAAAACTAGAGAGAGAGAGGGGGGAGGAGGGGGAATTGTTCGAAGCAAAAGACGCGAAACTCCATCAAAGTGGCATTGTGAGCGGATAATCAGGAAGGAAATTACAAAGGTGATTTGAACGTGGATCAACAACGGTCGAAGCAAAAGAAGTTGAATTCCGCAGACCGCGAATGGATAACGTGAAAACGTTAATAGAATTCCACCACGCGACAAGCAACAGCAAATTAAACATATTTAACGATAACCTTTCCAGGAAGACAATGAATCCGCAAAATAACCGAGACGTCTTCGGTGAAAAGAGGTTAGAACAAAATGGCGGATCTGGTAGATGGCGTTAGAAATATTAATTCTTTCTGAACATAGCGTCTTACAGAGAGAAAATGAAACTGAAATTTTCTGTACTTGACCGATATAAATCGATATCTCTAGAAAACTTAGTTACAAGATGATCACAATACCGCCAACATAACTAGGAGAAAGAGAAAAAAAAAAAAAAATTGATGGAAATATCGTCGAGCAATTAAGAGAACGTCTAAGGAGGTCAAAAGTTACGATTAACGTAGGGTTGGTGCGATTAAAGGGTCAGTCTCCAGTCGCGTGTGATGCGAACTGGCTCAGCAGCCTGACATCGAAGAGGGTGGGGAGAAAAAAAAAAGGGACGCGGCCATATGCATCTCCCGCAGAGAATGGGGAGCGCGACGGTACCGCGGGGAGAAAAAAACAGAGGCGGTGCAATTTGATGCAGCGGCAAACAACCGCTGGTAATAAAAAGATCGATTTCAAACGCGTCGACCCTTGCCTCGAAAGCCAACACCGGCTGGTAGGCGACTTTCCGAGGGAAAAGTCGAAACGTACAGTGCTACGTGTTCAAGTGTCCCGGTTCTTTATGTCCCCTTTGTGTCGCGATGCCTCGTTCCATAAGTGTCTATTAATTGTTCCCACATTTCAGAATATTCAGCGACGAATTTTTCACATACACACAGTATTTCGCTTATTTAACCACTTGCCGCCGCTGGCAACTGGTTCGCGGACCATAACGAGTGACCGAATCGTACACAATAATTCGTCGCCTTTCCTTTTCTTTCGAACTCGTCGGTATGATATCACTGGATAGAAATTATTAAGAAGTAACAAACTTATTTGTTTTGCCTGGGTTATACTTAAATATACTTGAAAATGTTGCAATTTTCTCGACAAAAAATTCTCGACGTGCGTGATACGTATTTACACGGTGCTTTTATTCTATAATAATATATTCCAGTACTATATATTTTATTACATTATTGTTCGGTCTTACCGAACACAATGAGGGTCAAAATGTGATGCGACAAATAAGTTCATCGAGCCAGGGACAATAAACTCCTGTTTTGTAATTTTTTCTACGGCAGGGACCTCCCGTATTTCATATTTCAAACGGACATTTCCGTATTGTAGTCATATTTGACTCTTAATTCCAAGGCTCGATGAGTTTTCTTTATCGCATCGGTCCCCACCATAAACAGGACACTAATAAACCGGCAGGACACGGAAGA